ACATCAAGGGTAAGCGCTGAAGCCATCTTGCACAGCGGAAGAACAGGTAGTTGAATATTTCAGACTGATGTTGCTTGATACGTTTATAATGCAGATTGAAACCACCTAGCCTCGTACCAGTAGGTTTGAAGATCCAGAATTTGCTTGCTCTTAATTTTATTTCCATGCGAAGAATACGAAAACAAAAGACGAGGTCGGATATCATGCGTCTAATTCTGAGAGGAGTCAAGCCCAATTTATTAGAGCGTAGGTGACAGTCTGGAATATCAACTAGTGTTCCACCACTCGCACGACGAAAGACCAGGCGGGTAAAAGTGTGCTGAACTCTTTCAATCTTCATTATATCTTTTTTCGGGAAGGAGTCCAAACTTGCGAACAGTAAAGATGTGGAATAACATAAGCTTTGTATAACCGGGACAGTATTATAGGATTACGAGTTTGTATATTGCGAAAGATTGTAAATAAAGTGGCATATGCCCTGTTGACAATTGAATCAATATGCTTAGAGAATTTCAAATCACAATCGATAATAACTCCCAGATCTTTCACATCTTGACAAGCAGTCATCTCAACTCCATCAATACGAAGTTGAGGAATGCTTGCCAAGATGGAGGAAGGAACATTTTCTTGGGTTGAGAGAGAGTCCGTTCTGAGACGCCCAAGCACACATTTTATCAATCGATGACTGCAAAGCATCATGAACTGTGTCCAGGTTGTCTTCATCATGGGATGCATATATCTTTGTATCGTCCGCATAGATTTGTACGTGTACATTCAATGTTTTTAAAGCATCAGGTAGGTCCAAAGTGTATACCAAAAATAACAAAGGAGATAGGACAGCTCCCTGAGGAACTCCACTGGGACAGAAAAATTTTCTGGAATATTCATGACCAATCTTTACCGTCATGCATCTATTGCTCAAGTAAGACTCAAACCAAGTTAGTAGGTTTCCCGAAATTCCGATATTCTCTAGTTTGCAAAGGAGCAAACGGTGGGGTATTCTATCAAAGGCCTTGGAAAGGTCGAAGTATATAATATCCACAGATTTTCCCGAACTCAAGGCTAATTTCCAATCAAAAACGGCCTCAGTAAGATTAGTTGCAGTTGGCTTGCCTGGCACAAAGCCATGGTGCTCGGGCGAAACAAGATGGAACCTCTTTAACCAAAGTAGTAATTTACTTCTAATATTCTTTCCATAATCTTGATGGGCACAAAATTATGGCTAATGGGGCGAAAATCAGCAACACTTTCAGCTGCGGAAGTTTTAGGCACAACTGTAACAATGGCTTCCTTCCAAAGGGAGGGAATCTCACCAAAGTATAGGGAAAGATTGAATATATCAGCAAGCGGTTTGGCAAGAGTATCTGCACACATTTTATAGAGTATCTGAGGGATGCCATCGTACTGCTCCATACACGAAGGTTTTAGGGACCTCAAGACTCTTCTCACTTCCGCAGGGTGAAAATAAACAGAGTTCGATTTGTTTTGAGAAGGAGGGTGGGAGGAAGAGGGGGTGATGTTCAAAGGATTCGCGAACACAGTGGCAAAGTATTCACCCAAGGCCTCTGCTTTATCGGAATCATTACAGCAAGTATAACCCAAAAAGTCTTTCAACACCGGGAGGCTAACCTTACTTTGTAACTTGTGGTGAATGTACCTAAATAAATTTCTCATAGAGGATTTCTTTGATAAGCGTCGCTCATGATTGGCTAGAAACTTTCTGAGGTGCAGATCAATGTCAGCACAGACTTTCTTGTACAGGGGGCTAGTTAGAGGTGAATCTAAAACACAAAATAAGCGACACTTCTGTTCAATAAGTGAACGAATATGAGCAGGATAGATCAATCCAAAGTTGCAATTAATTCTCATAGTACCAAACAATGCCATCCCAGTATATATGACTTGGCAGAATCTGAGATACAAGTCATCAACATTGCGATAATTGTCAAACAGTGCAGTCCAATCAACTTCAGATAAATACTTATTGAGGGAAACGTAATCAAAGTGCACAAAATCGGGTGTAGGATAAGATGAGACAATCTAAAAGTTATCTTTATACTCAAATTTAATGATGCTATGATCTGCAGAAGCCAAAGGTGGATAGAGTCTGACACTGTGAACGTTTTCCGAAGTAGACAATATGATGTCCAGAATACTATCAGCGTGGGTAGGATATAAGGCATGCTGTTTCAATTCAGCATCAATGAAGAAATCAAGGAACGGTTTAGATTCATGGCTAATGTGCTTCATATTGAACCAATCAATATGTAGATTGAAATCGCCCACAATAAGTGTAGTATTTCCATCGGAAGTTAGATTGGAGAGAAGCTCAATCAGCTGTTTATCATCACCCTGCGTGGAGTTAGGTGGACGATACACGATTAGGAACTTGACAGTTTTCAGACTCGACAAACAGAAAAGTTCCACAGTCAATAAATCAGAACGCGAAGCAATAAATCTTGTCACTTGCTTGATGTAGAAGCAGCCTTTAACAAGGCAGCATACACCACCACCTTTTCGCTTCGGTCTGTCAGTGCGAAATATAGAATATGGCAGATCACCGATCAGCTCAGAATCGTGTACCTTTGGCTTAAGCCAGGTTTCAGTCAGAAACACGAGATCAGGTTTAGTATAAATCAGAAGCGAATGCAAGTGATGCAATTTATTTACAATACTACGTGCGTTCAGTAAAACACGTTTCAGTATCCCAGGATTGCCATGCGTAGTCATTAGTTTACCGAACTTCTACTAGGAAGCTCCGAGACACGCTTCAGTTGGCCGCGATAAACGACCCACTCCTTCTCGGGTTTCCCAGCGTTGAGTTCCTTAGCCTGCTGCCTAAGTTCATATTCGACCCTCCTTTCCTCGGTAGTCATACTTTAACGAATGAATATATTTGAGAAGGGCGAGTTACGAAGCCGATACGAATTTGCTAGAGCTTTTTGCCAATAGTAAGTTGACGGAAAAATTACCTTGACTAGCCGAGGACGGTCGGGTGCTGCCTTCCCAATGCGAAGGATTTCACTTGGGCAGCAGTCAATATCAAGAACGTCCATGATATTGTCCACCTTACTCCTAAGGTCCCTAGCCCGCTCCGAAGCGCGGAGATCATTCGACGGTTCCCGTATCCCACTTATGACAATTGTACGTGATCGTTTCTCAACCTCAAGTTCACCAGAGACCGCATTCTGGAGTCTCTGCGATAGGATGTCTAGCAATTGATCGATCACTGGATCCTTGTTCCTATCCTTGATATGCAGCAGAGGGTCTGAGGCCGACATATTAGAATAGTCAGCACTGGTGACCTCATTTTGCATGCCAACAATAGGAGCAGGAGTCGATGCAGAGCTAGAAACACCCCTACGAGATGAACGAGAGGCTTTCGGAGGCATGATCACGATCAAGGAACGCAATATAGTCAAAGGCCAAGAAAATCAATACAAAAAGGCGCAAGCGATAGCGATTCCTACCCAGTAGAAGGTAACCGGATGAGAAAAAAACAAAATCGAACCGAAAATAAGCAGCTGAGAGAGTTGCTAACAACAGAATCAAACGTAGACAGCGTCAACATGCAAGAATGGAAGAGAAAAAGGTTGTAAAATAAAAACGGTCAAAGCGGGCAAAAAGGCAGCCGCTCACTGGCACGGCACAAAGAAGAATCAGCCCCCGACTACAGCTACTACTCCAGGATCAAGAAGAATAGGCGCGGGACGAGCCGCCTCGTCACGTGCTGCCGATGCCTGATGATGATCAACTCCAAAAATAGTTCCGGGTTCTCCGATGGGTCAACCGCATGCCCTTAGCCCTTTCGGGATAATGTGACCCCTCTCCACTCCCGCAATCCTTTTTTACTACTCGTCAGACTATAATACTAAGCTGCGCGTCTCCAAATACAAGAATCATCAAAGGCTCAACCGCTCGAAACAGTCGATCATCTGCGGGAGCTATTGGAGGCGCTGCCAGCGGGTTGATATCATCAAAAAATCGATAACGAACGAAGCTCGAGGAGGCGTAGACCGCAGCCTACGCGCCCTTATATACCCTAAGACTTGGCAACGCGCCCAGCAGGAGAAGTCTTAGCGGCGATATTAGCGCGCCAAGTAACGCGATAGCCAGCGCTCCGGCCTCCTGTTTCGAGGAGTGGTTTGCATCGCGCGAGACGCGACAACCCGTCATTATTTTTGGATTAGGTATGTAAAAGTATGTAGTAGGGTTTTCATGCATGCTGATTTCAAGAAACGACTTTTCACAGCTTTCTGAGCTGAATCACATCTTGAGAAGCAGAAAAAGCCGATACGACTGCAGAGCAGACCGAGTAATTTTCAGATGGCCATAAAACGCTGGAAAGAAAACATTATGAAATTGTTTCTTCTCTGCATGTAAACTTTTACAGTGTAGATACATTTTATGTAAAAAAGTATGAAAACTTATGTGAGCAAGGTGCTGGTGCCAGTTAAGTCAGAAAAAAGGTTCAGCACAGCTTTTCTTCACATAAGTTTTCATAAATTTATGGAATATAGTTCGGGGCGTCATACTTTTGCGTTTTGGCTGAAAACAACGCCTTTGTTCGTTTGATGGATAGCATGCCGGTGGCAGGCCGGCGGTACTCTTGCGGCTCTACTCCACCCCGGACCCCGGAAAAACGATATCCCCTTTGCTTTCATCCTTAAAAACGATATCCAGCTTGACCCGGTGCCAGTTGTACCGAGCGCTGGCCCCTGGACTCGATCCCAAGTATTACAAAATAATCGTATTCAGCGCCAGTCTGCGCTGTGCAATGTTTTTCTTATGCTAACAGGTACTGCAACTTCTTATATGTTTGTTAAAAAAATACTAGTAAAAGGATTTCTCCAAAACAGTAGTTCTATATTATATCCAATGAAATGACTGAACTAATTTTCAGTTTTTTGATCACTCTCCAGTCACACACTTCGTCTTTCTATTTACAATTTTTAGCAGTTACTGTAATTCTGTAACATTCTTACGTCAATCAAACAGTGTCATTTGAGAGATACCTGAGTAAATGCGAGTGGTGCATCCTCCCTGTTCTTCAAGGTGTTACTAAAACGCATAGCAAAATTGATGTAGCTCTTAATTTCTTCTATTTGCGAAAACCATTCATCTTGCGTCTGAAATGAAAACGACTTTAGTCAAAGTTGTCTAACATGAACAGGGTCTTATCTTCATAAACACTTCCATATCAGATAATGATGCTACGTCTGTTCTCAGCTGAGCAATTTGACCATTCTCTGATATCACGTTTTCGGTGGCTTCGCATTTATCAGCTGCGACTTGCGCTTCTGCTTCGAGGGTCATATCGTATCGCTTAAAGGCTTAGTCAAAATGCAAATATATGTTTGTACAGAAAAGTTTTTGCACAACTTTTTGCATGATGCTGTAGCTTCTTGTCAAACACCTATGAGGTAAAAAAGGTTTATAACTTAATAACTTACCATTTCATTCATATTCTTGGCTACGCGAAAATTTTTCTCTATCTGCGTTTTCAATGAGTCCTTTAGCCAGCTTCGATCTGTGTATAGAAAAGAACTATAGATTTTTTGATGCTTTCGAATTTCCAACTCAGAGATATTCTCAGAACGCTTGTGATAGGTGGGGAGGAGTGTGTCTGATGGTAGGGCGCCGCTATGACTATTGAAAGGTTCAATTTGCTTTAGCCCTAAGTGATTAGCAACCAACATGCCTATATTGTTCGGTGAGTAGGGTCAAGATGCGATTGGTCTCTAGCCTCTACTGTTTTTTCTTGCTAATTTTCTTTCTTACACGTTATTCATGAAACGCAAACAAATGCGCATTTACCAAGAACTCACGCATTTCAAAGGAAACCAAGCCAGTTCAGTTGAGTGTAGACAAAGTTCGTAGTCTTGCAGACTAAGTGGGCACATTGTGCTTTAGAAACATGGACCATCATACCCTCGATACATAGAGTCACGTACTCTGGTAATCTTCACTTTGAGGGCTATGAGGGGACACAACCTTCACCTGGAAAACAACAAAAGTCATCCGGGGCTTTGCCCGGATGATGTTATTCTGACTATATCGGAACGAATGTTAATGAAGCAAATACATAAAGGAATAATATCTTTAGCTTATCTCAGCGAAACCGAGAGTTTGCGTTTTCATAGCCTTTTTCACCTTAAAAAGAAGGTTTCTGTGAAATTTTTGCCAGAATTCACGAGAAAATTTCTCAGTTAACTTTTCATTTGAACAAAATCGAAATTCAGAAGTTTAGGAAAGCTATTGGAGTTGAATAAAAAAGAGAAACTGCGCTTAAATCTCGCGCAGAGAGTCGCGCACGAAAACGCTGGTCTGTCTCATTAATGAGTGATATTCAAAGCTTGGGACGTTGTCAGTTTCGTCGTGTCATGACGATCAGAATGATATTTAATGTTGCAGTGTGTCGTTGAGACCCGCGGAGATCCAACTAGAGCCAAAGGCCCCGTCGGCTCTGGTCTGTCTCCGCTGCTCGTCTGCGTCTCCGCTACCACTACCCCGAACGCGGGGGCGCGCGGCATTTAACTCTGGTACCTTTTTCTTCGCGGTTTGGAATTCAATTTTAGCAAGCTATATTTCGTTTTGAAGCTCTTGATTTCTATTTTCACGCTGACAACGTCCCAGAAACATATTTTTTGATTTGATCGAGAAATTCGGCAAAAACCTTGTTTTCTAAAATTTCTTGTTTTGCCCCTAGTTCAACTCTTTTCACGCGGTTTTTTCATGCATTCTATAGATTTTGCTTCTATCAATAATGCAGACAACCACCCAGCCCTTACCTTTTTGTTTAATGTGGAATTTCCTGCGAAAAATCGTAAAAAGTGCGTTTTTACCTTGTTCTGTTTCAGTGCCTTCGCATCGATTTTTTTTTCCAGCTTGGGCGATTGTTGCTCAGAACAATAAGCGCAACAATCCAGACAACGTCCCAGGAAACACGAACGTCAACGCGGGGGTAAAAATTCAAAGGACGCATCAAAATCAAAACCCCGTGTTGCAAATTGCTGGTCCTGGAGCGAAAACCGGCACATTGAAAAGCCGCCGAATGAAAGATTTCAAACCTCATTGCAATGTTTTTATCCGGTTTCAGTTTCTTTTGCTTTCTATATCTGTTTTATGTCATTTTCTCTTCTCTGATTTTCTTCAAACAACCTTCACTATTTATGACTTCAAAGTTTAAACAAACTTTACTTTTGATGCCCTGTCTCTAAACTATCAAAGCTATGGTGTTGTTGTAGTTGTTGTGCTCGAAGTAGTTGTTGGTGTTGTTGTAGTTGTTGTGGTCGAAGTAGTCGTTGGCGTTGGCGCAGTCGTAGTTGTTGTGCTCGAAGTAGTTATTGGTGTTGTTGTAGTTGTTGTGGTCGAAGTTGTCGTTGGCGTTGGTGTAGTTGTAGTTGTTGTGCTCGAAGTAGTTATTGGTGTTGTTGTAGTTGTTGTGGTCGAAGTTGTCGTTGGCGTTGGTGTAGTTGTAGTTGTTGTGCTCGAAGTAGTTGTAGGTGACATAGATGTGGTTGTCGTGCTTGAAGTGGAAGTCGTTGAGGTGGAAGTGGAGGTTGATGTCGTTGTTGGCGTTGTGGTCGTCGATGCAGATGTACTCGAAGTAGAATCTGTAGACGACGTGGTTGTAACTGAAAACACGTGGTCATGGGAGTATGAATTGAATAATTGCGATGATAAGTGACTTTATGTGCCTCGAACTACGCAAAAAACTTATCGTCTTTAGGGTTATTGTATGCTTGATTCCAACATTAAGTCTATATCTATACACTTTCCAGTGTTGATTGTTACTTGTTTGAGGATGTTAGCAGATTGTGAAGACTCAGATTAATGTCTGTTATTAGTAATAAGGATATGTTTTGATTGATTCATATTAAATTATCAACTGAAGTTCCCAACCTTCCTATTCCTAATGTCTCATATTTTTGGTAGATTGTGATGTAAGCCACATATTTCCAAAAGCTGTTCACTTCCCAAAAGAATAAAATGAATTTTCCAGAGTTGGTGAATTCGAGTTTTAACGGTTTCAAAGCAACAATGAAGCCGGGCACAATTCAACCTGCCGAGAATATCATACTTGATTGTTTTCAGGATAAGAACGTACCATAAAATTCTGAGCCTCGCAAGAAACATACTATGCATTTATTCCTTGATCAGCATGTCGAATAGTTTCCCGCCCCCTAAGCCTAGTTTCATATAAATCTGTGAATTGTAGCTTTGCCTCAAAAGGAGCGTCCAGGCAAATCTAGGCCTATGAGGATCTCACATGGGGAGAATCTTGGGGTCCTAACTAAGGCCCTACCCAAGCGGCAGCTCAGATGGGGAACTCACAGCTGAGATATTCGCTTTCAAGCTGGACTCCACATTGTATTATATATCGCATGGATTCATGGCGCGACACATCAGTTTCGCTTGTGTCCTCGTGGGATCCTGTTTGAAGGCGAATGTCTCAGCTGTGAGTTCCCCATCTGAGCTGCCGCTTGGGCAGTGTCTTAGTTAGGGCCCCAAAATTACTTTCCACATCAGAACCCCGTATGCCCATTTCCCTGGACGTTGCCTTCAAAATTGCCCTCCATAACTTACTATATCCTCACAAAAGAAATTTGGCGGTTAGTGGCTACATTTGTATCCTCCAACCTGATAATATAATGTCAAAGAATGGATGCGCCATACGCTATGTAAAATGTAAAAGTTGCAAAACTAATTGAATTCAACGCAAATTTGAACCCCTAATACATTTTAAAACACTCTTCTACTTCTCTGAGTTGTTGAATAGATTAATGAAAACTAAAGCATGAAAATTGCATTGTTGGCGTTTTTTACAGTTTGAAATCATTTAGAGTCTCGAAAAGACAGAAGCATTTTGCTCTACAGCTTATCACGTACATTGGTCTTGGAAAATTTTTAAAGTGGAACTTACTGTCGTGGAGCACGCAGAGAGGTCCCAAGGTGCCATCTGGATTTTGCATACATTTGGCTTCTGGTCTAATTTGTTTGCAAGTCTTATGTGCCGTACATCCTTTTTTATTTTTCGGTTGTGGATTTGGTTCAAAAAGCGGTTCACCAGTTTTTGGACTAAAAAAGAAAGAAGTAGCGGCTAATAGCAAATAGAGCAATTATTTGACAAGTAAGGGGTGAACAAGTCATATTTTACTTACAGTGATTCGTAAACACATGCGATAGCAAAAGTGGTATCATCACAGGTTCTGTGTTTGCATCCAAACGCAATAGTTTTGTAATAAACCATCTGAAAAGTTGATATAATTGTCTACTTTAACCTCTGTGTCCTTTATGACCTTCTCGCTTAATTTAAACTAAATAATTGTAAACTGTCAATGTTAATCGTTAAGGATGTGAATACGAATGCCGCTATTGAAGGCATTGAATTATTGATTTTCCTGCCTTTGATCAAGACTACGTGGTATACAGAGCAGCTCGATCTAGATCACCATTGTTGTTTTTTCGCTGCTGGTAAACTAATAATTTACGCCCTGTACCTACCCCGACAGTTGATTCTCGCATCATAGTTCCAGCTAGTACGTAACACGATTAAAAATTTTTAAGATCAAATGACTTTTTTGGTACTTTAAAATTGATTTTTGTAGTGAAACTCATGAAGATGAAATTTTGCAAAGCAAATTTGAAGTCGCTACCTGGTAGTCATGAATGTGGAATGGGTAAAATGTCAATATCTTACATTGGCGAAAGCCTGCATGCGTACATCCTTGAAGATCACGTCAGAACCAAGTGGAACGATATCCTTCGCGGCCCATTCATGTACGACTATGTCGTAATATCCCTTGAGGTAATCGTGATCAGATTCGTCAACCTTTTTAGGTGTGCGGAACCTAAATAAAGTGACATATTATACGTATGTGCTCAAGTCTTCTTTACAAACTTTCTAAAATTAGTGCCATATCCCATCGAAGAATAGTCGAGAGCTGGTCCAAGGCAGTCCTTCGGTATAAGTGCTTCGGCAAGATATGCGAAGCCGCAGTCGAATTCCTCAAATTTGAAACATTTATGTTGATAAAGCGGTGGGGTTGATGAAAGGAAAGAGGAGGGAGGGGGGACAGGGACTATAAAGTCCTTTCACGTAGTCGACTTAATGCATTGGGCCAACCAGTGCTGATCACATATAACTAGTTTTAATTTAGTGACGATGATAAACTCCAAAGTCGGTGCTGTTTCTCATATAGGAACATTGCAGGGCGAAGAACTCGTTACAGCTAAATTCTTAGGAAATTGAGAAAATTTAGAAATTTTTCCTAAATTTCCATAAGTTCTGGCTATGGGACTATGATCATTCGATCCAAAATCTCTGCTAGCTAACCACTAACAACTCTAGCATGATTTCCTGACACATCGCTCCTTGAGAATCCTAAGCGCAGGAGACACTCTCATGCGGTACAAATCTCTTTCCTCCCCATTCCCCTCTCCCCTCCTCCCTCAATCTTACTATCTTGCGCTGTTACTGAACGTTGCTGAACAGTAAATCTCCTACCAGGTTAAACATACTCTTCGATCCTGGTATATCTCCGTACACTTTCGTATTCAGATTTTTGATGGCAACATCATGTCTAAGGTTGTTATGGGCTTCCACGATAGTATCTTCGAGAACGGCATCAAAGCATTCGCCTGAGTTTGTTTATGAACTTGAACTGATATCGTTGATGATATGATCAAAAAAAATTATGACTTAGAATTCAAAGTTATAATGTTTACTGGAGACCGGAACAAGCCTACCATATGTTGGTGATATATACTGCACAATCAGAAGTATCTGAATACATTCGATTGAGGGTGATTCAATGGAAATGAGTAGAAGACACTTACCGCAGTGGCAGTGGTAGTTAGCATCTTGAACGAACTGGGCCCAGGCTTATTTCTAAAATATTAGTTTATAACCGCTTGCTTAAATGCAACAAGTATAGCAACAACAAGCATAACTGCTCAAGAAATAAATAATTCTTATTTTTTTGTTTCTGCTTGAGGTAGATAGAGTATTTTGATGTTCGGAACCATCTCAACCCTTACTGCGTCGGCTAGGATGATTTCATTGAAGATGATATTTAGAAGTTTAGTCTGAAACCGGACTATATTTGCTAACTGATGAGTCGAAAGCAGTAAGCAGTGAGTTTTTCTCCGCGTTTCCTTTACTTTATGGACATCTTGGCTGCGCTACTGAGACAATGCTTCAAGAAGTCATAGTTTTCTAGTATTTTTAGCAGACACAAGATGGGTGGTTGTTGAAGACGCTCATCTAAGGTGAGTTTACGAGCTGAGCCATTTTAGTGTAGTTCTTACCCAGAGAGCAGAATTCTCTCCAGAAAGAAGGGCAACTACAAAATTCACAGCTGGAAGGTTGGTATTGAAGAAAAATTTTTTTGACGCTTTTCAGTCTATGCGAATGATAATTGTACGAGTTACACTTTTGGTACAAAGAGACTAAATAAGCCAATGACTTGTTAACGACCTAACAGGGACTCACCTTAAATAGCGTCGATGGAATGTTAAACAATAAACTTCATGGCTTTAGTGACTGGTGAAAAGATTGATATGCAGATTGCTTGTGGGAAAATTCACCTAAAAGATTGGATAATCATTCAATGATTTTCGTTAAGGAAAAATGTCATTTTTGATCTCAGGCAGTCATATTTTTTGTCCTTAAATTCCATAGAAGGCGCATAATTGCTCAATGGTAAGCACTTGCGATGTTGAAGCAGATGGATAGTCTCTAGACTCCATTTCTTCATCACTCATCGCTGCGCTTGTGAAAAAAAGATTCTCCACCTTGTGTCACTTTACTTTGCGTTTCCACTATGACCTCAAGATGCCTACTTGAATGTAGCCTAGAATAACTTTTTTAAAAAGTGATTTTGTTGCTTTTGCTCCCCCGCTCTCACATGACCTCAGCATTCTAACAAGTGCGCTTCATGAATTTACCATCGATAATCTCCTGAGGCTTGACACTAGCTTCTGAAAGTTACCTACACTTTCTCTATAGCCTACGACTTCTCCTAGTAAGACGCTAGGGATATTTTAGGTAATGAATTCGTCCCATCCGTGTATACAACCACAGAAATACATCCGCTCTTTATTCTTTAAAGCCGCACATGATCTTAGCTGGCAGACATGGATTAGAACAAAGCCTTATGATTGGGTCGTTTCAGTTTGTAAGTTTTCATGAAACAACGAAATACATAATAATATTAGGTTGTAACGTAAGTCTTGTCACACTTTAAATTCTTACGGCGATAAGTCGTATAGCTCGTATTTTTGATATAATTTCAGGACACCGTTTGGAAGAGCGAAACAAGCTCTACAAGAAGGTGTGCAAAGGTTTGCACCAGTCTCGAGCTACAGTAAGTTTGCATTCAGAATCTGAGTCGTAACGAAGGCTCAAAAATAGAGTTAGATTCATATCTGCGTTCAAAAAAAATCCTACGGGCCCTCAATTTGTTTGCAAAAATTGCAGATTTATAGATGAGGAAACATATACGAACGGTGCATATGAGTATCTGATGTGATGTGCAATTTTTGTGAGCAAGTTTGGATTCGTAGATCTTTTTGAACAAAGATTTGAATTTTCCTTCGTTTTCGAACCTTCAGTACGACTGAGAATCTGAGTGCAAACTTACGGTAAGTCGAAGCGAATATTCGCTCATAATCTTGTAGAGCTTGCTTTGCTCTATCGAATCGTACTCTGTGGCCCTAATAAGAATATGAAGTGCATGACTTATCGCCGTAGAAGTTGAAGTGTGACAAGACTTATGTTACAACTTAATAGAACCTCATGAATCGGATTATTAACTATATTTTATAATGAAATTATAAGCTTTGCTGTTCTCTTCCATCTGCCACCTCGCCCGGCGAGGCTCGCCGTCAGATTATCATTTTTGTATTTCCACAACTCAGCATCTCGTTTCAAAAAATTCGTTTGATCAGCGCTTGAGATCGTTTCAGAAATAAGTCAAACGCCCTTCATAGGGTTCCACAAAAAAAAAACAAGATAATTGATAATCTGGTGGAGCAGAGTCTGAGGAACACTACAGTGGATACTAATGTACTTCCCAGTCGAGGCTTGCAGGACAATTTTGACGACATTTTCCATATAGGATTATGTTTTGTAAAGGATTATGTTTTACAAAAACTCAACAGACCTGTTTATCAGACTTTTTACAGTGTGAAAACCATTCTGTTCTTATCTAGCAAAAAGTCAGTGCAGAAGTTTCTGCCCGTCCCACAGTTTTGTTCAGTGGACATCCTGTTTAACCCTGTTTGGAAGCCAGATCCTCTTCCCATATCGACGTGCAAGCGCCGTTTTCCATAATCGGAAAAATCCACGCAAAAATTTTTCGCAGAAAATTGAGCAGGTAAGGAAAAGGCTCTTTTTTCTTTTTTGTATTCCATATTTGAAAGAATATGAAGTCGATCAGCTTTCCACCAATGGTGAAGTTGTACTAGAAAGCGTAATAAGCTTTCCTCAATGGTACGAAGCAACCGTTTTTTCAGCCGAAAAGCAGCCGAAACGGCATACGATCCACAAGAGTGGAAATCGATGTCAATCTCAGGAGTGTTTTTGCGCAGAGTTACAGTAACAAAGTTGAAACATCTGCTACACACTGAACCCAGTGCAGTTCAAAAAGAGGAGCGTTACCTATACCAGATGGCTCTAAATGCTTTTGAAGTTATTGAGCTTTAAAAACGTCCATTTTTTGTGGTTTACGCATTTTAATTAATTTTTACCAAGTCTGTGAGATAAAATAGGCTCTTTCGATAGATACTTTGTTTGGCGCTCGGAAAATCCTTGCATTTTCGTGCCGTTTTTCAACCAAGTTCCAATCTTACCCTAGAGTAGCCACGATTTCGAGCCTCAAAACTCGGCTTCTGAAACACTGCAATGAAGTAAGCACATAGTATGTAGAAGTTATGTATTTGGCTGAAAGCGTTGAACGCAGCGTTGACGTTTGTTTTGGCCACGCAGACGTCACTTCACCAAAATCACTGTTTTTACTATTGCAATCACATCCTTACTTGGTTTTTAGCTCCATGGCCTCAAGACTAGTTCTGCAAAAAAATCAAAAATTTCGACACGGATACATCATCATGCAAACAATGCAGCTGCTTCATATCAAATGTTTGCGCGAGACAGAAGCTGAGTTTTGAAACTCGAGATCGTGCTAACCCTAAGGTTGGAACTTGGTTAAAAATCGGCAAAAAATGCAAGGATTTTCCGAGCGCCAAACAAAGTATTTAAGAAAAAGGCTTACTTTATTCAAACTTGGAGAAAGTTAGTTAGAATGCGTAAACCACAAAAAACGGACGTTTTTAGAGCGCAATAACTTTAAAAGCATTTAGAGCCATCTGGTATAGGTAACGCTCCTCTATTTGAACTGCACTGGGTTCAGTGTGTAGCAGATTTTTCAGGCTTTGTTACTGTGACTCTACAAAAATTTGGCGAAGGACTGCACCCGCAAATGAGATATGAACCTTTGTTTGAGGTGTTCGTATAATTATGAAACGCTCAAAATTCGCATTAGGCGCAAAAACACTCCTAAGATTGACATCGATTTCCATTCGTGTGGATCTTATACCGTTTTCGTTGTGCTCTTTCGCTTGGTACTAGCGGATTGAGTTTCTTCCAAATAGTCCAAAAATTTTCAAAATTTGGGGTGTTCGTATAATTATGAACCGCACTATATTCCTTGAGGTAATCGTGATCAGATTCGTCAACCCTTCTAGGTGTGCGGAACCTAAATAAAGTGACACATCATACATGTATGCAAAAGTTTTCGTTACGAACTTTCTAAAATTACTGCCGTATCCCGTTGAAGAATAGTCGCGAGCGGGTCCAAGCAGTACTCCGGTATAAGTGCTTCGGCAAGGTGTGCGAAACCGCAGTCGAACTCCTCAAATTTGAAACATTTATCGTTGATAAAACGGTGGGGATGATGTAAAGAGAAGGAAAACGAGGGCGGGGACAGAGAAATAAAGTTCTTTTACGTAGTCGATTATTGCACTGGGTTACGGTGCTGATTACATATAATTGGTTTTGATTTAGTGACGAGGATAGAACCCTAAGATCACGTGCTCTTTCTCATATAGGAACATCGCAGGGCGGAGAACTCATTACAGCGAAACCCTCAAAAAATTGAGAAAATTTAGAAACTTTTCCAAATTTCCATAAGTTTTTGCTTGTGGGACTATGATCAACAAGTGGTATTAGAACGATTATAGCTCTGCACATTATATCGCCTCCTTCAATACATACGTCGCTCCTTGACAATCATAAGAGCGCAGGGGACATTCTCATGAGGTACCAACCTTTCCTCCCCATTTCCCTCTCCCCTCCTCCCTCAATCTTGCTTTTCATCTTACGCTGCTACTGAACGTTGCTGAACAGTAAATCACCTACCAGTTTGAACATACTTTTCGATCCTGGTATGTCTCCATATACTTTCGTACCCAGATTTTTGTTGGGAACATCATGTCTAAGGGCTGCATGCACTAACATCCCCGAGGGGAGGGGTCGCAGCTTAAAAGAAAACTTCATATTTCGAAACTCAAAATACCTAGATTTCACGTTGTGTACCTATCCGTAATTATTCCTACTACCCTTCACTATGAACATGTTAAAGAGGAGTGAGAAGCTGTACGAACCGCATTTTCTAGCTTTTGTGTGATCCCTGATGATCCCCGGCGCTTTTCTTTAAAGTCATTTTTCTTTCTCCGAAGTACTGTAAGGCCGGTATATTGTATTTCTTTGCTCGGCCTTAACCCATTACCATAAATTCTCATGTCACAATTCCGAAGCGTGACCGGAGAAAGTCCTGTTATTAGCGCAATGTTGCAACCTTAGTTTCTTTACGCTACGGGATTAGCACATC